ATTTCTAGTATTTAATTTATGTCTGTCACTATTCTTTAGATAACAATTAAGATTATGTCTAACATACAAATTTTGCGTGGCCCTGCCACAATTAATCGCCTACAACCTTACATCAGAACCAAGTCCTAGTGTTTGTTGTCCTAGTCCAAAGTTGTGCAATGTGTCATCTGATATGACGTCTAATATATTTATCAGTAGTGTAACAAGAAAATTAACTTTAATGTTTTAACAAAATGTAAATAATCCTCAACAACTGAGCGAAAACAATATTAAGAAACTAATAATTTCAATCTCAATTGAAGTTGGATTATTTTAAATTGATTATTTTAGAATGAGTGGGAAAATGTGCAAAAAGAACCAACATGTGTGGAATTGTGGGCGACACTCAACTGTCCAATTTTTAGAACCGGCTATTTTAGTTACTGATTTTCATAAATGACTGAAGTATGCAAAAATATAGAATTATTTAATTCACTTACTGAACACCCAAGTAATTGATAACGTCATCCATTTTACCGCTGTCGATTAGAGAAGTAAAGGTTATGTGCAAAATATGACTGATTCCCAACTTTTAAATAAAGGAATGCGTAAATTCGCGAATCTCCGCCAATTATTGAGAGTAACTCTCTCGAATATTTAATGAGACTACCCTTCAGAATGAAAAATAAAAATTAGTTTACATTATACTCGTAGTTCCAAATCCTCGCGAACTTGGTGGAAGGCATGAGATCTTAAGCTATAAAGCCAGTGGTTAACTATTCCATATGAATAGTAAATGTCAAATACACTAATATTAACATAACTTACGCCCGGTTCCTGAAACACGGATCATCGTAGAAGTTCAGAATGATCTTAATTATCAGAATGATCAATTCAAAGGGTTTAACGATCCTTATGCCAACTCAAATAACATTTGAAAAGCCATTTGACAGCTGATTAGTTAACTTATACGATGATTAGTGTTTTTCTTTCACATGTCATTGGCGAATTCATAAAAGCGCCATAAAGGAGAGAAGAAGAAGATTAGTGTTTCAGAAACCGGGCGTTAACGACAAATTTAACATGATTGCTACACCTTTCGGGATTATTCAGCATCATGATTATTTACACGTTTTTTACAAATAATCTGGAACCTACCTTAAGTAGCTACCTTAAGTAACTAATTTTTGCTCCACCCACTAGATGTCGCTTTTCAATGTCGGGCAAAACCGGTTTATTTAACTATTTTTATTTAATGTAATCAACGCCATCTGTGGGTAATTTGTGAAATTTGATCTGTAAGAAATGAACTGAGTGGGTTTACAATTCGTTGTCATCAAACGATCTTAATTTTAATTTCCAAGAAAAAACTCCATACAAAAAGAAGCAACTACACTTTTGATCCATAATCGTATTAACGTCTATCTATAACTTAAAGGGTCAGTGAAGGAAGCCTTGTACAATCAAATAGTCAGCGATTTTAAATTATAATGAAATATCAGTTCATAGAATATATAAATGTATGTGAAAGAACTGTGGAATTATGATACCCATAATAATCATAATAATACAATAATCACAATTCCCTTCACCTAGGTTTTTTTATCATGGAAGAAGGAGACAATCTCGCCAGCGGGTCACCTGATGGTACGCGATCACTATAGAATTGCATTGCCAGCCTTTGGGGTAGAAGTAGACTCTGTTCTTGGAGGTTTCGTGTGTTCGTGATACGTCCTCAGAGTTTATAACATAATCGCTGCTGTATGCCGTTATGTGTTTTTTCGTTTGTATGTCCGTCCGGGGTAGGAGCATGGCCTCACAGAAAACCGGCGTGAAGGGGAAGTGTTATATGTACTTCTGTATTTCGTCTGGTAAGTGAGGTAGCCGGGGCCTACTTTATTTATTAATTTATTTTAAAAAAACACTACCTTACCTTAGGACAACATTATCCAGTGTTGTAAGGACGTTGCACAAATATAAATTTCACGTGGACAAACCCAGATGCGAAACAACTATCTGTGGGTCACACAAATAGTTGTCCCGTATGGGGATCGAACCCTCGACCACCGAAGTCAAAGCCAGTACCTTGGCAACTGCGCTACGGAATCATTAAAAGGTGACAACACATCTGAAACCTACGTGTGTTACAAATGTCCATTAGCGACTTATAGTATGAAAGGTTTTCACATTTCTCTTTTATGGAAATGTCCGTTGAAATGCGCTTGACATATCCTGCTTTATGTTGAAACAAAACTAATCTCATGAATTTTTACTTTTCGATACTATTCATAAGAAATGATAAAAGTCGAAATGATTACCACCAACCGTGTGGTTTGAAATAGCACCAGTAGGTTTTCAACTTTGGAAACGGCGGCCCATCCCTAATGCTAGATAATCAGCAAAAAGGATAAATATTACTATTTTAAGCTTTTTGGGAGTCTCCGATGCTTGCAACTTAGATATATTACAGCAAAAACAACTGCATATCTATCTGTAGCACCGTCGCAAAATCCTTACTAATATTATGAAGACGAAAGTTTGTGTGTATGGATGGATGTTTGTTACTCTTTCACACTAATACTACTGAATGGATTTTAATGAAACTTTACAATAATGTAGCTTATACATCAGATTAAGACATAGGCTATAATCTATATACATATTTTTATGTATATCTCTATTTCTGTCTGAATGTTATGCTCAGTCTATTCTACGCAGACGTAGTCGCAGGCAGCAGCTAGTATTTAATAAACCTAACGTTTTCTCTATATAGGAAATTTCATACACATATTACACAAGTGTCATGAAATATAATAAATAAAACGCCATTCGATCCGCAAATTTACTTTAGATTTATTTATTTATAAAAGTAAAACTATAAACGAAACGTCGCTTATTAGCTTACGCAAACAGAAACTTTCCGATAAAATCGTTAATTTCTTGAAATCTTATTAATAACGAAACACGTTATTCACGTATTATATTACAATAGAATTCCAAATATCTCGCTTAACTTAATAGTAATAGAGTAAGAATTTGTTTGGCACGTTTTTCGTTTGTCTGGGACGGCACTAACTACTAAATAAAAAAAAATGTAAATTTAAAACATAAATCGTAATAAACAGGGACTTATTTTAGGAATAAGCAAAATATTACATATAACCCTTAACTATTTGTAACTGCGTCATGGAGTCTGCTATTTACATGAATTATTTACGATGTTACAACTTTCGTTTTAAAAAAATTAACTTATATTTAAAGTGACATAGATTAACAAAATCAGATATATGACAAATAATATACGATCTCTCACATTGTCTCCGTTTACTATATATTTATTTCTTTTTACTATACCGTTTATTGCTAACTGTCGGATGATAGCCCCTTGGCAATATTTCTCGATTTAGAGTTAAGAAGGTCAGAAGGCTATTAGGAATGTATTGACCCTTACATGCCAATTCTAATTGTTGCATGGCTTGTTAAATATTATTTACGAATGTATGAAATAGTAAATATTAATAGCTTATTTTTCAATTACATTTTTTTAGCGTTGGGCAAATTTGTAATGACATCTAACATGGCGTAGTTTTAGTTTAGTAGTATACATAGGCTGACATTACTAAACTAAAACTGTCCCACGGCTGGGATAAAGAGTGTTGAAGTCACAGTCCACAGTCCACAGCGTGACCTCACTGCGGATTGGCGGACTTCATATGCAGGTTTCTCGGGATGTTTTCTTCCACAGCTGAGCACGTACTTAAAATTTTAAAATGGTATAAATCAAGAGTCTATTGTCATAATTTCGAATAAAAAGAATTAACAAAATACGTGTTTTCATTATTTTTTTTTAAACAGCCATAACCGAGCAAGTTTATAATGTTTTTACGATTTAAATTTTTTACGAGTTTTGTTTTATTTCCCTTAAACAATCAACTTTCGTAAGGTTCTCGTTTGAAGTGTCTGATAAGAGTTTATGACCCGAGAGCGAGGGTCCGTAACTTTATGAACTTAAGACTAATAAAAAAGTGAAAACCATAGTTACTTTGCAGTTATGTCTGAACGTGTGGTTCTTCTCTCCCACCTTTCCAATGTCCTTCTATTATATATTTTATTATCTCACTTATATAGGCTAACCATAAAAAGATTTGATAAATCTGTTCGTCTCGGCGGACTTGTTAAATCCAAAATGCGTCTACATCTTATTGTTTGATAAAAAGGATCGATTGAATTTGAAATTAAGATTTCTTGTTGTTGATGTTTTAGCGAATATAGTGCAGTTCCCAGTTGCTAAGAAATCTCTATAAGATATTTATTAACGTCATAATGCACGGGGCTCGCAATGTTTTAGTATTATATTCGTTCAACTTTATTTAACAACCAAATTAATATTTATTGCCAAGGTAAATACTATGTTAGCAACCCTTTCAAAGTAGTACAGAATCTACAAAGCTTCTTAGGAGACAATATAGAGAATTGGATGAATAAAAGAATATGAATATTGTAGGGCCTAACGATTTCTTACCACAGATACGTTAAGCAACTTGACAAGTTACGCGACGATTTAAAACTACATTAGAATCTGAAAGGCTAGCAACTTTAATCACGAACGGAAACTTAAAGGATCCAACGGATGGCAACACCGAAGCTTATAGCGTAATAAGTTTTAATTCTACCGTTTTCTTTCTTGTTATCGAGATAATTTTACAAAATTACATCTAGTAGTTTTTCGATATGACGCCAACAACTTCTCTCTAGAGGAAATAAAATATATATATGTATAAAACATTAAAATGACAAAAAAGAAACGGAACGCAACATAACAGATATAAAATCTATAATTTACACAATAGTAATTGTTAAAAATTTAGTAAAACTTAAATATTATAATAATACGACACAAACAAGGTAAATTTGAATCCCACGGCGTCCCGCCCAGTGGAAGCTTTGAATATTGTTAATTCCCCCTAACGTGACATCGCCTACGTCTATTTACAAAAAAAGATTGCAGTTGACCAACTTTAGCTGGTGCTGTCAGATTTGCCAGACTCACTCTCCTCCGTGATGGTGATCATTGGCGGTGGGTTGTCGAAGAAGCAAGCTTCCGGAGAAACCTCGTTCTTAAGTTTCTCGAACTTCGGCGAGCCTGTCAGCATTGCCTCTTTCACGCTATCGTATACTTCCGCCCTGACTGTTGGAATGGAGGCCCTCTTGCTCTTCCCCGCGTCTTTTAAAGGCAGGCCCTCTTCCACAGTCGCCGCCGCAGACACCGACTGCTTGTCCATCTGCAATGGCAGACTGCCGGCCCTATTCAGTTTCTTTTCCGGACTCCGAGCCTTTTCTGCTATCGCCACGGCGACGCCGTTCTCCATCTTCTTATCTCTCTGGTCGTGCAAATGCTGAAGGCTGTATTCTCTCGCTTGCACATCAGAGAGGAGGGGGCCGTCGCTGGAGCCTTCGATGCAGTAGCCTGGACCCTGCAGCTCGCTTCCTATGATCGAGTCCTGCTTGAAGATCGCGGCTGTGACGACAGGCTTATCTGGATCGGTCGGCGTCTTCCCAATCAGCGGCTCTTGTGAGTTGTCGTGGGTAATGCCGTCGGCGTCGTCCTTTGACACCTCGTAGCCCGCGTACACGGGATAGCCAAAGGGCCCCTGCTCGTACCCCATTTGGCTTCCGTACGAGTAGCTCACGTTGTGGGACCCGATCGAGGACATGCTGAGATCCGATATGGAGAGACCGGTGCTAGATAACGCCAGCGCTTGCTTTTCGAATTTCGCGCTGCTCCTCTCGTTGTCCTCCTCCAACATTCTCCTCTCCAGCTCTTCTGGGACGCGGTGGATTAGAGCCTGGTTGGTCGAGATCTGCGGGTCATGTGGTGGTGAACTGTGGGTCGACTTGTTCGGCCTGTACGCCGCCGACTGCTGCACCTCGACGACGAAAATACCGTCGTTGTCCGGCGAGTACTTCATCTTGGTCTCGCGGCCATTCTTCGTTATATCCTGCAATAAGATCAATTATGATTACTCGTACATTATAATGCGCAATAGGCTCAGTTTCTTTAATCATCTTCATATTATCCACACGCAAGAAAATGTTAATCCATTTTATGTACATTATTTTTTTTTAATTTAAGCAATGCTTATCTTACTGGTTAATTAGTCGGGGAGCGAACCCTGAAGACGTGGATTCGATTTTCGCAACGGCGGAAAACTATTCATCCATTTTCTACAAATTTTTATGAAAAATATGTTTGCTTGTTGTGTTCCATTAGTCCTGAAGTTAGCAGTTAGTTCGCCAACGTTTTCGCAAGCGTGTATATAAAAGCTATGCCGAAACGTGTTTCCGACAGAGCTAGAATTAAGACATAAATAGCATTGAGATTGTTCTTAATATGTGACGTGAACTTGATGGGAGCATTGACGCAGCTTTGAACTTTCTGCTTGTTGGTTCGGTGACCCCTATTTCTAAGTTTATTGCCTTTAACAGCACTCGGATGGGAAATAGAACTTGTTTGATCAACGGAATACTGTCTATGTTCTGCAGGTCAGTATTTGTGCAATTTAGTTAAAAAATGATTGTACTAAGTGGAAGTGTGTAAAGTAAAAGTAAAGTAAAGCAACAGCCTGTACATATCCCACTGCTGGGCAAAGGCCTCCTCTGTACAGAGGGCTTCAGGGCATAGTCCACCACGCGACCCCACTGCGGATTGGCAGACTTCACATATCTTCGAAATATTAATGTAATATAATATAAGTGGAATAATATTGTACAATGATAGGTGTAACATAATCCATTATGGCAAATACGTTCGTTATGGGACTAATACTCTTACGTACTGTAGGAGTTCCGGGAGACCTTCGGCCTTCTTCTGATGATCAGGAGACGATTGGGGAGTCTATTTAGGTGGTCAGTCTATACTTTAAACATGGTCCTACCGGCACCAAAAAGAAGTGGATTTCTTACAAGTCCATATTTTTACTAACGAAAAACAAATAACCAATTCAAATATCTCGCTCTGTATTCATTTTATAATTGATTTTCAGGAGTTCCCTAAATATCTCCTGAGAACAAGATTCAATACCAATGAAATTTGTTGAAAACACAGTGAAGGATCATGAGTTGTGCAATACTAGCTATTGCCGTATATGTCGACCGCGCCTGATTGAAATAGCTTCTTTGGACGATGACTTTTCCTGTTCTCGCGACATTTTTGTCCAATTCCAACGTGTAACTTTTTTTCGTATAACTTTTCGACAAATATCTGCAATGCTAATACTTAGTATTGCAGTATAGTCTTATATAGAGAAAGACATGTATATTGACTTGAACAATTCAGGCCGTCCTTAAGTATTATTTATTTTAAAATAAACATTTCCTGACCTCTTGCACATAGTTACGTTTTTGAAGAGCATACAAACGTGCCTTAATAACCAGTTTTTATACTGTGGATTCTTTTTAAACTTCACCATCTGACAAATACCATAAAGCATACCATTAAGCTATGTTTTTAATCATAAACTTTCACTTTCTGGAAAAAGGCTGTCAACATTTGACGTTTTTGCGCACTTTTTTCCTCGAGGAAAAACATGTTAAGAAATTACTTCATCATAAATTTTGTCACATTCTCAAAACCACTATCTGGTCATCATTTTTAAAACTAGGCGTGAGGTGCTGAAGCATTCAGCTTAAATAAAGTCAAAGTGCTTGTAACGTCCCAGCAATATCTCTTATCCTTTAAACGAGCAATTCTTGTATATATATATATATATATATATAATTGGAATCTCGGAAACGGCTCCAGCGATTTTCATGAAATTTTGTATGTGCGTAGATTCGGGGGCGAAAAATCGATCTGACTAGGTTTCATTTTTAGAAAATGTCGTTTTATCCCAGTTTTCAGGGAATGAAAAATATTATTCGAATACGACGGTAAATTTCACCGAAAAAAAAAATGTTATAATAGCTAGGTCGGTAATCGAGCGGCCGCTAACAAACACGCCACGAAACATAAGGCCGTGGTTCGTATCACGATCATTTACACACTTATTTTTTTTATTTTTTTTCGATTCCAGATTATTGCTTTGTTCATCTTTTATTTTTTGTCGATTTGTTATTTTGTTATTTTTTTCCCTTTTTTTTAAGTTCTTTCTTTTATGAAAAACACCAGTTCATATTTTCTTATTATTACGTCGGTAAGATCGAGACACGTATCGAAATGTAATTTCCAAAATACACGATTTACCAAAACAAGAACAAACCGAGCAAAGCTCGGTCCTCCAGGTACTAACACTTTAACTGTGTAACATTAATATATAACTATCAATTATTTTATATTAGATGCCACCGCCTATTTAAACCCTATTAGTATTATGTAGATAAAAGCGATTGACACACACAAGTCCCGTCCTCGGAATACTCTAATGGTAAATTTTAGAATCAGTGTTGAAGTATAGTATATTAAAATTCGATACAAGTCTTTTTCATTGGTGTATAATTAGCGTTAGAGTGAAATTTGTACAAGTTTTAAAGAAAACTTTATAATTTAGGTACTCTAATGTACTTGGATTAGCAAGAGTATCACGTCATAAACATTGCCGATGATTGGTTTTGTATAACGTGATATAAAGATGATGGTAGGGATAGGCAGACGGCTTCTTCAAACCTACTGCAGATGTCGCTACAGGAGCCATAACAATAAGTATGACGGAAAAATATAAAGAAAGAATAAAGAGGTAAACCTAAAAAGGGAATGAAACATGGACTTTGCATTTATCGTCGATCAAGATGCCTAATGTAATCTAATGAAGGATGGAAACATAGATTTGTACTTGCTTTGATAGTCTTTATTCCTCTTGGATGTGCTAAAAATCGATGCGGCTTACTGTACTTGTTCTCGATGATACTTACGGGATTCCGGAGCCGCGGTCTAGCAACGTTCCAAAGCGCTAAGTGGTCGAAAGTGTTTTGCGGATAACAACCATCAACAACTCTGCCTTGTTTTCCCACAATCTGACTTGGAGGTGACCAGAACAGAAGAGAAGATTGTCAGCACACTTACATTCCTCTCCTCCGTCTCCACGATTAGGTGGTTGTTCTTGAGAGTCATAGTGAAAATGGACCCGTTGGCGGGCTGCACATCAGCTCTCTCCAACCCATCTGTTATGCCGGTGCCGTCGTCTTTCAACTGGAACAGAAGATATAAGGTATTAGCAGGCTTAATGAAAACTTGTAAATTTTAAAGTTTTTTATAGTGCTAATCTCTGCACTTAAGATTTGAACATTAAAACATGTAGAAAAAGTACGAAAAGATTGTCGCCGCTGTGGGAATCGAACCCACGTCTTCGGCATTCGCGGCCTGACGCTTTCGAATATCGTATGTTTGTATGCTGGAAAGGATATAACAATAGATGCGCCAAGCATTGCGGTGACAATCTTTTCGTACTTTTTCTACATGTTTTAATGAAAACTTGTAAAATTTAACTCTGGTAGGGCCACGCAACAGTCTAAGCTGTTGCATGAATGGGTAGGTCCGTCCGGGTAAGTACCACGACGAAGAAGACCGGCGTGAAGTTAAAGTGTTGTACTTCTGCGGTTCGTCTGGTGAGTGAGGTAGCCGAGACCCACTTTATTAACAAGTCTTACTTGGAACTTTTGGTAAACAAAGAAAGAAGCAGAACGGGACGAGAAAGATGGCTGTGTGGTACTAAAGTGACAAACATTTGCTGTCCTCTTTTTTCTTATTGCTTTAATTATGCTATCCTTTTTATACCATTTGAAAAAAATGTGTAAATGTGTGCCATCACTCTGGAAATATGAACACATTCGACCAGTGAATTTGTATGCGTATAACATATCTATAGTATGAAATATCATTGTGTATAATATCTACTCTTAATATATAGTAATATAATTATTAGGGCCACTGACGGACACCCCTAGCAATAGTTATTGATTGGCTGCCGAATCAGTCAATAAGTGGTGAATGCTTTCTTAATTTTAATTTTTTAATATCTATAAAAGATATTCGAAACACACGAAAATGTGCCAACAACTTCTTACCAAATATTTTGACGATAATGTATGATAATTTCTTGTATTTATGCGATCAAACACTAAATGATACTATATTTCCAGATATGTCATCTGTTCGGACAAAAACTATAATTTATAAACTGGCAGTAGCCCGGAGTACCAATGACATTCAGATGTCCAACGCCTCATTCTGTCCCGTGGCCATTAACGCTGAAAATGGTTCGAAGAGATGGAAGTAAAATTGATAAAAATAAACGCGATTAATACGTTAATATACTTTCATTTTTATTCGATTATTATTAAATCAGCCTTGTAATTATTGATTTATTCATCGAACGTAATCCAGTCGACTCGTGGCTCGTTCTTAACGAAAGCGTGAACGTTATATTAAATCTTAATTCACATTAAAACCCTCACTTTACAAGTAATGGCAACGATACGAACGCACAAGATTCGGGATCGAGGTCAACGTTAAAACTCCTCGCATTAAATATGCTATCGGCGTGTTACATCTTGAACGAGTGTAATCTTATACTTAAGCAAACAGACGAGCGAAAAAGACTTGCGATGACGACAGCCCTAAAATCTCCATGCACATGATATTGTAAATGTGAGTTGAGGCAATTTGGTGATTTAATCGGTAACTGTGTAACAGAACTAAAGTGATAGACCAGTTCGACCGCAGAAGTAAATACTTACTGTGGTACGTCCATACAGCAGCCTCGGCTGTTGCACGAATGGGCAGGCTCGTCCGGGTAAGTACCACGACCTCACATTAGACCGGCGTAAAGTGGAAGTATAATACTTATCGTATACGTTTCGTCTGGTGAGTGAGGTGGCTGGAGCCCAATTTTTCAAAAAGGTTGTCACCGCATCTGCAAACCCTCGGGTGTAGCAGATGTCCATGGGTGGCGGTATTTACTTAACATCAAGTGAACCGCCTGCTCGCTTAAAAACTTATCACATAAAAAAATACCAAAGATACGCAGATACCGCTAAAGACCGATATTGATGTGGAGTGAATTTTTTTATAACTACTCTTGGTATTCAGCTGATTTTCTGTGGTAGAGCTATGCAGCAGCTTCCGCCGTTGCAGCGGCAGCCATGGCGTCTGTCGCTCAATATGGGGCTCGTGAGGTACCGTGCCAATTGCACCGGCACAGCACCGTATAGAAGAGGAGGCCCAAAAGGCCCAAAGGCCCAAAAGGCCGGGGTCGCGGAAGGTTGCGTCCACGAGACAGGTGCAACGTAGGCTTTTAGTGGGTGCCCGTTGGGACTCCCGCGTGCTCCTGCCACTCCCCCGATCCAGTGGCAGGGGATCCATAAAGGATATTTCCCACGAAAACATCACTTGTCCGGGGCAGTGGACGTATGTATCCGTAGTATAAATACGGCCTCACAGAAGACACTGTGTGAAGTAGAAGTATATACTGTCGCGTTTCGTCACGAGTGAGGTAACCGGTTTAACGGTTGCCAACGCATCTGCAATCCGTCAGGCGTTGTATGTGTTTATGGGCATTTGACGACTTTCACAAAAAACTGGAATGAATTAATGACAGAGCCACACTTAATGTCATTGGCGACACGCCTGCACCACCTCTAGTGTTGTGGGTGACGATGCTCGTCGCTAAATTTCCGGCGAAACGATTCCTTGAATGACATCCCTTTAAAAAACGTCACAGTACTTAAATACAACGCTCATAAACCATAGTCCGTACTGCTGTAACCATGGATAAGAAAGTCAGTTTTTCTTTTTGTATTTTAAGTAACCATAGACGGTACTGCTATAACCGTAGATAAGAAAGTCAGTTTAAGTCTTTTTGTATTTTAACTGAATGTCATATACAAGTTGGCTATTTGGCGGGGACGCAGGCTCGATTGGTTTACTTTTTTCAGATTTCATAGGCAGAAAAAATTATACCTCACAATTGGGACAGCTGCATGATGGCAGGCTTACCACCTGTCACTTTCGTAGTCTTAAACACGATGGAAAATATACAGATTACTGTCAGGGTCAAAGACATATCAAGTTTTTTTTTATGTTTGTGTGTTTGAAGCTATACTTATTATGCGCTTTAGGGTTGGTAAAAAATGATAAGAGTGAATTTTAACGATGCATGCCATGAAGTCGATAAATCTCTCCTTTAGTAACGTGTCAAAATCTCGGAACATTCAAAATGAAATGTGTTTTATTGGAGTCATTATTATCCACTACGTTTCTAAATAAGTACACACACACACACACACACACACACACACACACACACACACACGTTTTCATCAAAGTCCTTTAAGTTTTTTTTTATATTTTATGAAAGAGAAGTTGGCAAGCAAACTGGCGATTCACCTGATGTTAAGTGATAACCGCTCATGGATATTTGCAACACTCGCAGGGTTGCAGATGTGTTGCCACCTTATAATGAAGTGGGCCCTACTTCATTCACCAGACAAAAGGCAGATGTATAACATTTCCACTCCACAACGGCCTTGGTACTTGTAGTACTTGGTCATGGTACTTCCCCGAACAGCCCTGCCTATTCATGCAACAGCGAAGACTGTTGCACGAATGGGCCTACCGCAGCTAGTTGTCTTTGTCTGTCTAAGCTACGTTCAAATTACTGATACGAAATTCCTCATTACCTTAATGTGTTACGATATCTCTAGATTCATCCTCATGATAACAGTGGGCCCTACATTAGGTTTGTGAAAATAAGTCAGCATGATAAACCATATAAAAACCGTAAAATGCTGTTAACTTGCGAGCATTTTATTGTTTCTTGCAACAGCTACGAGCAAAGCCTGAGGACGTTTCTGCGCGTGAGGTCACTTAGGTCTAAACAATGTTTTATTTGCATGCGCTGGCCTCTCAGGCGGGCGCCGTACGCGACACAAAGGGTTCGGGCCTCTATTTGCCGCGACGCGTTTGGAGGTCGCTAATGATTCGCGCATTGACGAACCGTTCACCTTCGCCCACGCTCCCACCCAAGACACGAGCGGAAGCGATTTCGGTACGTGTCTTATAGCGACAGTGGCACGAAACGCTTCCAGTTAGTTCATCAACTATGTAGTATTTTTTGAAGATTTACTTCTTTTGGCGGATTTGGAAATAAATATGTGAGTAAATTTTTACGATACGCGCGCACACCGACCCCCAGTATACGACATGATGACGTTGGTTGCTTTACTATCTAACATTTACCTATAATTTCAAGTTATAACAAGTCGTTTTCACAAATCAAGTGTACTGGCACCTAAGGGGATCTTAGGGGAATTTAAAGTTATTTTCATTATAATACGATAAAGAAGTATAACTTCTCATGTGCGTGCATAAGTACACACATACAGATAAAATACATTGAGACCTTCGTCGGTGTGGCAATCAATCTTAGCTTAGTGATTAAAGCGACTGGGTGTGAATCCGGAAGACGTAGGCTCGATTATCGCAGCGGCTAAAATCTTTCCATCCATTGTTTCGCAAATTTCTATAATGTTTACAAATTTAAGTCTCCCGTAGTATTTCTTGTCACTTTGATTTTACGCCGGTCCATCGTCCCGCTACGAGTGGTATTTATCCATTAGTAAAGTCGACCTATTTGAAGTTTCAAATGCCTAATTTTTGATAGTTATTACAAAAGGAGTGGAATTTAACTGAAAGGAATTATATCAAAAGCCTGCTTTTAAAAGTTTGTGTTTAATATCGTAATTAAGGCGTTTTCATGCCCGAACTCATCATATATGTGTGTAATAAATAGAAGGACAGTGACCTCAGGGTCAATGTCCTCCTATTTATGGGCTCAGGCCCAAATAGCATAGATGACAGACTTGTCATGTCATGTCACCGACCTTTTCAGTTTGAATGACCACTTATCACCAGCGCAGTATTAAGTGAGAATCTTGAGGAAAAAGTGCACAAACAAACAAAATATAGGTACCTAATTTTTAGTGGCAGATTAATAGATAGTGATAAAAAAATATGAAGAAACCCAACAAATTTTATCGCAGTAGAATTAACGGAATACAGAATATACGAATAAACATTCGTTTTTACTGATATAGATAACGAACGGTCGTGAATCAACTCCAAAAAAATATTATTTTTCCGCTTCTACACAGTCGCTTGCGGCAATTATCTAAACCAACTCCGGCAGACCT